TTTTTTTTTTTTTTTTTTTTTTTTGGAGGGATGTCCCTGAAATAAAGTATTTTGATAACCATTTCTTCCTTTCTCTATTCTTCTCTGCATCCCCCCTCCTCCCTCTCCCTTGCCTTGGGGGGCCTGTCATCCCCCCCCCCATCTTTGAGATGTGTAGTTTATTTTTCCTTCTCTCTGCTGCTGGTGTGAGCCTGAGGAGGTGCCATACTCTCTTGGGGGAGCACTGCACCCCCCCTCCTTGGCTGCCCTGACCCCCCTGCTCCTCACACCCCGTGTTCTACTGGTATCAAGTGTTAGTGGGGGGCTCTACAGCCTGGGCTGGAGGTGGTTTTACCCAGCGCCGTCTGGGGGGGCCTCTGGGGCTCCTCTGGACTTTTGGGGGGATGTGGGGGGGTCCCTGTTCCCCTCTTAGCCTGCTGGGGTGGGGGGCTCTGTGTGCCTTGTCCCTGCCTGCTCGGGGGGTGTGCAGCACCCCATAACGTCACTGCCAAAATGGGTGCGAATCCTCTTTCTGGTAAAAGACCAAAGCGTGGCTGCGCTGGGTCCTGCAGCTGTGTTGATGTCCCCCCAGTCCTGTGCTTCCTGCTATACTGGGACCACTGGGCTGCTGTGGGGACCCCCAGTCCTTTCCCTGCGCAGACGTTGAGCCCCCGGTGCAGCGCGGCAGGTACGGTGCTGGCTGGGTGCTGTGGGTCCCCGTGAGCCCGAGCCTGGCGCTGGAGAACATAAGCACAGAAAGGAAGAAAAATAAACATACAGACAAGGAGAAGAAAATAAAAATACAGACAAGAAGAAAACAATATAGACAAGAAGAAAATGAAGACAAGAAAATATACAGAAAAGAGGAAAATAGAAAAGAAAATAAACAGAAAAGAAACATAGAAAATAATAGAAAAGAAAATAAACAGAAAAGAAGAAAATAAACATAGAAAAGAAACAATAGAAAAGAAGAAAAGAAACAATAGAAAAACAAAAAATAATAGAAAAGAAGAAATAAACAGAAAAGAAAATGAAAAGAAACATAGCAAATAATAGAAAAAATAAACAGAAAAACATAGTAAATAATAGAAAAGAAAAAATAACAAAATAAACAGGAAAAAACAGAAAAAATAAACACAAAATATATAGAAAAGAAAACATAGAAAATAAGAAAAAAGAATAAACAGTAATAGAAAGGGAGAAAAATATGGAAAAGAAGAAAAAATATAGAGAGAAGAAGAAAATAATAGAAAAGAATAAACAATAGAAGAAAATAGAAAATAATAAAATAGAAAAGAAGAAAATAAAGATACAAAAATAAACATATAGAAAAAAATAGGAAAAAATAAAATGAAGAAAAGAAACATAGAAAATAATAGAAAAGAAACAGCAAACAAACAGAAAATAATAGAAAAGAAACAGCAAAGAAAACAGAAAAGAGGAAAACATAGGAAAGAAGAAAACAATAAAAATATATAAAAGGAAAAAAATACAGAAAAGATGAGAAGAAAACAATTTTTAATTTTTTCTCCTCTCTGAGCCCCCCCTGCTCCGCCGGCCCGGGGTGGCCTCGGCCCTTGAGCCCTTTTCCAGAGTTGCCCAACTCGGGATTTCTG